CTACTACTACTACTACTACTACTACTACTACTACTACTACTACTACTACTACTACTACTATCACTCCTACTAGTGCTTGTCCTACTTTTACAACTGCTACTTCTTGCACTGTCACCTATTTCGCCGAGGCATGTTCCGCCGAGGCCCTGTTCGTCCAAGGGCCTTTTCCGCCGAGGGCGTGTTCCGCCGAATGCCTGTTCCGCCGGGTCCTCTTCCGCCGCGTCCGCTTCCGCCTGGTCTTCTTCCGCCTGGTCCGCTTCCGCCGCGGTCCTGTTCCACCCTGTCCTGTTCCGCACGGTCCTCCGCCGGGTCCGCGTCCGCCGCGGCCAACGCTCAGGTCGTGGCCGCGGTGCACCTTGCGCGGCGGAACTGGGCTTCGGCGGAACCGGCCCTCGGCGGAACCTGTCCCGGTGGAACTGGTTCTCGGCGGAACCGGCCCTCGGCGGAGCAGGTCTTCGGCGGAACCGGTCTTATATCATTTCTGTGCACTTCACCTGATAGCCTCTTTTCGTCCCAAAAGTGTACGAGCCGTTAGTCACTTCACTACGTGCTCAAGGCACAGTGGTGGTTGATGTTGATGTGGTTTGCATTGTGTTGATGTTGTAGTCGTGCGTATTTCGTCACATCTCGTTGCAATGCTTTGCACCCACTTTGCTTTACATCCCACTGCGTTGCGTTGCAGCGCCTTGACTTGTAATAATTTTCCATTGCATGACGTGCGTTTAACGCGTAACATTGTATGCTGCGTATCTCGCGCTACGCTGCGTTGCCCATACTTTGATTGCTGTTTGCGTTGCTTTGTATCGTGCTGCGTCGCATCCTATTGCTCTGCCGTGCATTGTTGGTATTGTATTGCTTTGCGCGTTATCCCGCTTCATTGCATTGCATCGCGCCGTTTTTTCATTACCATGGTAGCGAGTCTTTGAATTGCGAAGTTATGCGTTTCTTTATGTTCCCTTGTGTTGCATTGCAATCGGTTGCTGTAGGATTGCGTTGCATTGCGCATAATCTTGTATTCGCTGTGTATCTCAAACGGCACCACCACCAAACTACCATGAGCAGACCCACGATGCCGAGCTGGAGATTGGCGATGTCTTGGACGCGACTATGCAAAACAGGAGGGACCACACTCTTGCTCTTGCCCGTGATTGTAGTGGTGGTGCCGTCTTGTTCTTGCCCCACAAGCAAAGCTAAGCAGAACAACGCAAAGCAACGCAAGATACAGCAACGCAGATCATACCACGGAAATTAAAGCGAAGCCATTCAACGCACTGCATGTCCAATGCGTTGCGCTGCATTGCTAATCAGTGCAAGCCAGCACAACACATGCGTATCAAAGCAGCGTAACGGCTTAACCTGTGCTTGCGTGTTCCGTTCGTTGGTTTGGATTGAGCTCGTTCTGAGCTTCAGCTTGCCACCATGTTACATGTAGCGGGTCTTCGACTTACCTTAAGCCGCTCCCCCAGTTCACAGGACAACCTTTTTTGGGGCCGCCCCCCACTCAGTCTTCCATTGGGTGTCTTGCGGCGGATAAGTTCGATGTGCACGACGGCAGACATGTTCGATTCCGCTTCCACTGATCGTGCGGTTTGGTCCAGCACACAGGCCACATGTTCGTACTATCTCTACCAGTCTTTACCAGAGCGGCCAGCATACAGGTCGTTCTACGAAAGAGTCTTCCGCGCCGCCCCTCTCCCCGCGGTCGTCCTCTTTCTCTTGCCGTCGTAGTTGTCGTCCGCCTCCTCTCTTTCCCAGCCCTCCACGCCGCTCTCCTCCACGTCGTCCCTCCTCCACCTCCCTTCGTCACCGCTCCGTGTCCTCATCCCTATTTGCTCCTTCTCCCCACAGTTAAAGCCTCCCCTTCCCTCCCTCTTCGTCCGATCTTCCCTCCCTCCGCCCGCCGGTCCTCCCTCCCTCTCTCCCTCCCTCCCTCCCTCCCACCCTCCCTCCTTCCTCCGCCCGCGGATCCTCCGATCCTCCTTCCTTCCGATTCTCCCTCCTGGGGGGCCACATGCGAACCATACCCCTACCCCCCACGATTTCTGAGGGGGGGTGGGGTTCACTCTGTCCAGGAGCTCCCGAGCGAAGTGAGCCCCACCCTCCCCCTCAGAAATCGTGGGGGCATCCTCCGCTTCTCCCTCATCCTCCGATTCTCCCCTCGCTCCCTTTGCCAGCACTTCTCCCACGCCAGAAGCTGGAGCCTCTTTTGGCCGCGCAAGACCCCCCTATACAACTCCCTCGAACCCTCCCTCCTCCCTCCCCATTCCCCCTTCCTCTGCGGATTTCGCCGAAGACAGCCGAAGTCTCCCCAACGCCGTCAGGCGATGCTCGCAAACCGACGAGGGCTTTGGAAGAGGATCCGCGAGGAGAGGAGGGAGGGTGGGGGAACTCAGCGAAGGGGTGGGGGGGGGAGGGAGGGGGTGAGAGAGAGTAGGGGGGGAACGGGGACCCCCTCCCTCCCGCCACACGACTCCCCCGCGCGCGCGCACGGGAGGCCACGATCCACCGCGGGCGCCTCGAGGCCGTGCAGGCGCGCGCCAGCGCCGGAGGGCCGAGGGGAGCTCGGGGCGCCGCACAGGGTACGTGCGCGGCTCGGCCGGCGTCTCCCGGCGGAGCGGGGCTGGAAGCTCTGGCCGCTCCCGACAATGCGGGGGTCGATGAAGACGGGGGTCCGCCAGAGCGCCAGATCTTGCAGGATCTTGCAGGGCCAGGGTCGCCTTCACCCAGGCTGGGGTGCAGGATCCTGCAGGAGCCTGCAGGATTCTGCAGGGCCTGACGGGCCCGGGTCTGGGTCGACCCGGGTCAGTCGATGCCCAGAAGCTCCGTGCCCCGCTTCGCATGATCATGGTCTGAGTGGACTGTTTGGATTGTGCGAGCGTTGATTCGATGACAGATGACGGAGGGCAGATGGACAGCCCCGCTTAGCACTGCAGCAACCTGTCCAGAGCTGGCGGCATTCGGGGCGAAGGTGTCGCTCAGTCTGTACCGTGCCGTGTGCGGGTCTGTGCGCAGGGGGGAGTGGGCGGCGCATCGCTGCAGGCATCGCGGGCAAGATGGAGACACTGAGCAGGCGTCAGCGGCGGCCATGGCTTTGTTTTGCGGCGTGTGGCAGCTTCGTACAAAGAGGTGGGTGGGGCGTGGCGCAGCCCAGGCCACCCATGCACTGAGATTCTGGCGCTGCAACTCTTTCGCAACGGGCCTTCTCGCCCAGCTGCGGGCCCCCAGAACCCTCACAGAGATCGATCGGGCTCCAAAGATGACACAGAAAGATGACGCCCAGGTCCTCGCCGACGACGACGACGACGATGACGATGACGTCCAGGTCTCCGGTGGTGATCTCCAGCGGCGCTGCAGCATGTTTTTGCTCGCAAGGTCAGGTCTGCGGGGGCCGACCACTGGCAGGGCGGCCGACGTCGACGGGCAGCTCGGCAGGGGTCGGGCGGGCCCAGGGCCAGGACGCGAGTGCTGCTGTTTTAAACCTCTGGGCCGTGACGCGCGGTATGCCCCCCTACCCGTAAGTCGGGCACGTCTATCTACAAGAGGGATCTTCGAAAACAGTAAAATAATACTCTGGGGATGATTGTTTTTTTCCCTACCTAGGCTCTGCCTAGAAGGGTTCTTACTCGGTAAACTTAATGGGCCAGGCAGTGCAACTCGCCGCGGGCGGTTCCCCCAGTATCCGCCCCGCGGTTCCCCCAGTTACGTCCCCTTAGCTTAGCGTTGCTTATCTCATCTTAGCTTAGCTTATTTCATCTTAGCTTAGCGTCGCTTCATCTTAGCTCAGGTTTATCTTAGCTTAGCTTACCATCATCTTAGCTTCGCTGAGCTTTAGCATAGCAGAGCACATCATAGCATAGCATAGCGTAGCATAGCATAGCGCAGCATCGCATATCATAGCACGGGTGTAAATCCCTACCTAGGCTCTGCTTAGAGGGTTAGCTTAGCTTAGCTTAGCTTAGCTTAACTTAGCATAGCGAAGCGCTGCATTAACATGACATAGCATAGCATAGCATGGCCAAACATAGCATAGCATAGCGCAGCATAGCATAGCATAGCATAGCATGGCATCGCATAGCGCAGCTTAGCATAGCATAGCTAAGCTTAAAGGGCCGGGCAGTGGAAAACGCCCCGGGCGGTTCCCCCGGCATCCGCCCCGCGGTTCCCTCAGTGACGTTCCCTTAGCTTCGCGTTGCTTATCTCATCTTAGCTTAGCTTATTTCATCTTACCTTAGCTTAGCTTCATCTTACCTCAGTTTTATCTTAGCTTAGCTTACCTTCATCTTAGCTTCGCTGAGCTTTAGCATGGCAGAGCACAGCATAGCATAGCAGAGCGTAGCACAGCACAGCGCAGCACAGCATATCATAGCAAAGCCCAGCATAGCAAAGCATAGCGCAGCATAGCATAGCATAGCATAGCATAGCGCAGCACATCACAGCACAGCATAGCACCGCGCAGCACAGCAGAGCATAGCATAGCACAGCAGCAAAGCAAAGGCAAAGAAACAGCAGCGACAGCAAAGCAAAGCACAAGCAACGCAAAGCAAAGCAATACAAACACAAAAGCAAAGCAAAGGCAAATCAAACGCAAAAGCAATGTGCGACAGATGCCGAGCTGGCCTCGATGGCCTGACCGGAGCCCCCGCAAGGGTTCTTACTCGGTATGCTTAAAGGGCCGGGCAGTGGAAAGCGCCCTGGGCGGTTCCCCCGGCATCCGCTCCGCGGTCCCCCCAGTGACGTTCCCTTAGCTTAGCGTTGCTTATCTCATCTTAGCTTAGCTTACTTCATCTTAGCTTAACTTTATCTTAGCTTATCTTAGCTTCATATAGATGTTGCTTTCCTAGATCCTCCAACTCCTAGGTAGGGTCGCACTGGGATGATTAAAAAACCATTTTGACCATTTTGGGTGTCTTTAGGGATATCTATTTGTTTTCGTGCAGCATCCGCCTGTAGGGGGACATGCCCGACCTAACCCTTCCCTCGCCCCCTCTCCCCTCTATAACGTAACGCCCCCCCCATCATTGCGTTCCCGGCACTGCCGCAGTGCTTCTGGCATCACAGTCTGGGAGGGGGGGGAGCGCTACGTTGTGCCCCCTCCCGCCCCCCCTCCCCCCCATGACGCCTAGAGCGTCACAGGGCGCTCCTCCAGAACCGCCAGATCTCAGAGATCCCCGATTTGTCCTGGTCTGATTTTGCCCCAATCTTGGAGCGCATATCTTGGTCCGCTTCCGCCGCGGTCCTGTTCCACCCTGTCCTGTTCCGCACGGTCCTCCGCCGGGTCCGCGTCCGCCGCGGCCAACGCTCAGGTCGTGGCCGCGGCGCACCTTGCGCGGCGGAACTGGGCTTCGGCGGAACCGGCCCTCGGCGGAACCTGTCCCGGTGGAACTGGTTCTCGGCGGAACCGGCCCTCGGCGGAGCAGGTCTTCGGCGGAACCGGTCTTATATCATTTCTGTGCACTTCACCGGATAGCCTCTTTTCGTCCCAAAAGTGTACGAGCCGTTAGTCACTTCACTACGTGCTCAAGGCACAGTGGTGGTTGATGTTGATGTGGTTTGCATTGTGTTGATGTTGTAGTCGTGCGTATTTCGTCACATCTCGTTGCAATGTTTTGCACCCACTTTGCTTTACATCCCACTGCGTTGCGTTGCAGCGCCTTGACTTGTAATAATTTTCCATTGCATGACGTGCGTTTAACGCGTAACATTGTATGCTGCGTATCTCGCGCTACGCTGCGTTGCCCATACTTTGATTGCTGTTTGCGTTGCTTTGTATCGTGCTGCGTCGCATCCTATTGCTCTGCCGTGCATTGTTGGTATTGTATTGCTTTGCGCGTTATCCCGCTTCATTGCATTGCATCGCGCCGTCTTTTCATTACCATGGTAGCGAGTCTTTGAATTGCGAAGTTATGCGTTTCTTTATGTTCCCTTGTGTTGCATTGCAATCGGTTGCTGTAGGATTGCGTTGCATTGCGCATAATCTTGTATTCGCTGTGTATCTCAAACGGCACCACCACCAAACTACCATGAGCAGACCCACGATGCACTCCCGAACTGGAGATTGGCGATGTCTTGGGCGCGACTATGCTAAACAGGAGGGACCACACTCTTGCTCTTGCCCGTGATTGTAGTGGTGGTGCCGTCTTGTTCTTGCCCCACAAGCAAAGCTAAGCAGAACAACGCAAAGCAACAAGATGCAGCAACGCAGATCATACCACGGAAATTAAAGCGAAGCCATTCAACGCACTGCATGTCCAATGCGTTGCGCTGCATTGCTAATCAGTGCAAGCCAGCACAACACATGCGTATCAAAGCAGCGTAACGGCTTAACCCGTGCTTGCGTGTTCCGTTCGTTGGTTTGGACTGAGCTCGTTCTGAGCTTCAGCTTGCCACCATGTTACATGTAGCGGGTCTTCGACTTACCTTAAGCCGCTCCCCCAGTTCACAGGACAACCTTTTTTGGGGCCGCCCCCCACTCAGTCTTCCATTGGGTGTCTTGCGGCGGATAAGTTCGATGTGCACGACGGCAGACATGTTCGATTCCGCTTCCACTGATCGTGCGGTTTGGTCCAGCACACCGGCCACATGTTCGTACTATCTCTACCAGTCTTTACCAGAGCGGCCAGCATACAGGTCGTTCTACGAAAGAGTCTTCCGCGCCGCCCCTCTCCCCGCGGTCGTCCTCTTTCTCTTGCCGTCGTAGTTGTCGTCCGCCTCCTCTCTTTCCCAGCCCTCCACGCCGCTCTCCTCCACGTCGTCCCTCCTCCACCTCCCTTCGTCACCGCTCCGTGTCCTCATCCTTATTTGCTCCTTCTCCCCACAGTTAAAGCTTCCCCTTCCCTCCCTCTTCGTCCGATCTTCCCTCCCTCCGCCCGCCGGTCCTCCCTCCCTCTCTCCCTCCCTCCCTCCTTCCCACCCTCCCTCCTTCCTCCGCCCGCGGATCCTCCGATCCTCCTTCCCTCCGATTCTCCCTCCTGGGGGGCCACATGCGAACCATACCCCTACCCCCCACGATTTCTGAGGGGGGGTGGGGTTCACTCTGTCCAGGAGCTCCCGAGCGAAGTGAGCCCCACCCTCCCCCTCAGAAATCGTGGGGGCATCCTCCGCTTCTCCCTCATCCTCCGATTCTCCCCTCGCTCCCTTTGCCAGCACTACTCCCACGCCAGAAGCTGGAGCCTCTTTTGGCCGCGCAAGACCCCCCTATACAACTCCCTCGAACCCTCCCTCCTCCCTCCCCATTCCCCCTTCCTCTGCGGATTTCGCCGAAGACAGCCGAAGACTCCCCAACGCCGTCAGGCGATGCTCGCAAACCGACGAGGGCCTTGGAAGAGGATCCGCGAGGAAAGGAGGGAGGGTGGGGGAACTCAGCGAAGGGGTGGGGGGGGGGAGGGAGGGGGTGAGAGAGAGTAGGGGGGGAACGGGGACCCCCTCCCTCCCGCCACACGACTCCCCCGCGCGCGCGCACAGGAGGCCACGATCCACCGCGGGCGCCTCGAGGCCGTGCAGGCGCGCGCCAGCGCCGGAGGGCCGAGGGGAGCTCGGGGCGCCGCGCAGGGTACGTGCGCGGCTCGGCCGGCGTCTCCCGGCGGAGCGGGGCTGGAAGCTCTGGCCGCTCCCGACAATGCGGGGGTCGATGAAGACGGGGGTCCGCCAGAGCGCCAGATCTTGCAGGATCTTGCAGGGCCAGGGTCGCCTTCACCCAGGCTGGGGTGCAGGATCCTGCAGGAGCCTGCAGGATTCTGCAGGGCCTGACGGGCCCGGGTCTGGGTCGACCCGGGTCAGTCGATGCCCGGAAGCTCCGTGCCCCGCTTCGCATGATCATGGTCTGAGTGGACTGTTTGGATTGTGCGAGCGTTGATTCGATGACAGATGACGGAGGGCAGATGGACAGCCCCGCTTAGCACTGCAGCAACCTGTCCAGAGCTGGCGGCATTCGGGGCGAAGGTGTCGCTCAGTCTGTACCGTGTCGTGTGCGGGTCTGTGCGCAGGGGGGAGTGGGCGGCGCATCGCTGCAGGCATCGCGGGCAAGATGGAGACACTGAGCAGGCGTCAGCGGCGGCCATGGCTTTGTTTTGCGGCGTGTGGCAGCTTCGTACAAAGAGGTGGGTGGGGCGTGGCGCAGCCCAGGCCACCCATGCACTGAGATTCTGGCGCTGCAACTCTTTCGCAACGGGCCTTCTCGCCCAGCTGCGGGCCCCCAGAACCCTCACAGAGATCGATCGGGCTCCAAAGATGACACAGAAAGATGACGCCCAGGTCCTCGCCGACGACGACGACGATGACGATGACGTCCAGGTCTCCAGTGGTGATCTCCAGCGGCGCTGCAGCATGTTTTTGCTCGCAAGGTCAGGTCTGCGGGGGCCGACCACTGGCAGGGCGGCCGACGTCGACGGGCAGCTCGGCAGGGGTCGGGCGGGCCCAGGGCCAGGACGCGAGTGCTGCTGTTTTAAACCTCTGGGCCGTGACGCGCGGTATGCCCCCCTACCCGTAAGTCGGGCACGTCTATCTACAAGAGGGATCTTCGAAAACAGTAAAATAATACTCTGGGGATGATTGTTTTTTTCCCTACCTAGGCTCTGCCTAGAAGGGTTCTTACTCGGTAAACTTAATGGGCCAGGCAGTGCAACTCGCCGCGGGCGGTTCCCCCAGTATCCGCCCCGCGGTTCCCCCAGTTACGTCCCCTTAGCTTAGCGTTGCTTATCTCATCTTAGCTTAGCTTATTTCATCTTAGCTTAGCGTCGCTTCATCTTAGCTCAGGTTTATCTTAGCTTAGCTTACCATCATCTTAGCTTCGCTGAGCTTTAGCATAGCAGAGCACACCATAGCATATCATAGCGTAGCATAGCATAGCGCAGCATCGCATGTCATAGCACGGGTGTAAATCCCTACCTAGGCTCTGCTTAGAGGGTTAGCTTAGCTTAGCTTAGCTTAGCTTAGCTTAGCATAGCGAAGCGCTGCATTAACATGACATATCATAGCATAGCATAGCATGGCCAAGCATAGCATAGCATAGCGCAGTATAGCATAGCATAGCATAGCATGCCATCGCATAGCGCAGCTTAGCATAGCATAGCTAAGCTTAAAGGGCCGGGCAGTGGAAAACGCCCCGGGCGGTTCCCCCGGCATCCGCCCCGCGGTTCCCCCAGTGACGTTCCCTTAGCTTCGCGTTGCTTATCTCATCTTAGCTTAGCTTATTACATCTTACCTTAGCTTAGCTTCATCTTACCTCAGTTTTATCTTAGCTTAGCTTACCTTCATCTTAGTTTCGCTGAGCTTTAGCATGGCAGAGCACAGCATAGCATAGCAGAGCGTAACACAGCACAGCGCAGCACAGCATATCATAGCAAAGCATAGCGCAGCATAGCGCAGCATAGCATAGCATAGCATAGCATAGCATAGCGCAACACATCACAGCACAGCATAGCACCGCGCAGCACAGCAGAGCATAGCATAGCACAGCAGCAAAGCAAAGGCAAAGAAACAGCAGCGACAGCAAAGCAAAGCACAAGCAGCGCAAAGCAAAGCAATACAAACACAAAAGCAAAGCAAAGGCAAATCAAACGCAAAAGCAATGTGCGACAGATGCCGAGCTGGCCTCGATGGCCTGACCGGAGCCCCCGCAAGGGTTCTTACTCGGTATGCTTAAAGGGCCGGCAGTGGAAAGCGCCCTGGGCGGTTCCCCCGGCATCCGCTCCGCGGTCCCCCCAGTGACGTTCCCTTAGCTTAGCGTTGCTTATCTCATCTTAGCTTAGCTTACTTCATCTTAGCTTAGCTTTATCTTAGCTTATCTTAGCTTCATATAGATGTTGCTTTCCTAGATCCTCCAACTCCTAGGTAGGGTCGCACTGGGATAATTAAAACACCATTTTGACAATTTTGGGTGTCTTTAGGGATATCTTTTTGTTTTCGTGCAGCATCCGCCTGTAGGGGGACATGCCCGACCTAACCCTTCCCTCGCCCCCTCTCCCCTCTATAACGTAACGCCCCCCCCATCATTGCGTCCCCGGCACTGCCGCAGTGCTTCTGGCATCACAGTCTGGGAGGGGCGGGAGCGCTACGTTGTGCCCCCTCCCGCCCCCCCTCCCCCCCATGACGCCTAGAGCGTCACAGGGCGCTCCTCCAGAACCGCCAGATCTCAGAGATCCCCGATTTGTCCTGGTCTGATTTTGCCCCAATCTTGGAGCGCATATCTTGGGCCGCGGCCGCGGCCGCGGCCGCCCGCAGCAGCGCCGCCGCAGCCGCAGCTGGGCAGCACAGTTTGGGCCGCGGGCGCCCACCACCGCGGCCGCAGCCGCGAATGCAGCACAGCACATTGTTCGGCGGCGAATGCGTGCTCGTCCTCCTCCTCCGCCTCCTCCTCCTCCAGTCTCCTGGCGCCCGAGGGGAGGGTGCGGCGCCGAGGCCCCTCCACGAGTTCGAGGGCCCTCGTGTGGACCTTCGGGGCCAGTCTCGGGGGCCGCCAGTATGCACCCCAACAACGGATCATCGCCACCCCATACTTCGGCGGCGAGCGAGGGGGGGGGGAGTGGGAGGGAGAAGGCCCTCGCAGAAGGCGGCGGGACTTCTCAGAAGCTCTCCGCCCTTCTGAGGAGGCCCCACGCGCGCCCGCCGAGGCCCCAGCCTACAGAGTCGTCAAGCGAGCCCACGGAGGCCCCAAGCGTTGCCCACAGAGGCCTCCGACACAGATCTCAGAGGCCCAAAGCGCGCCCACAGGGGCCTTAGCCGCAGAGGCCCCAAGCGCTGCCCACAGAGGCCCCTGCGCGCTGCCCACTGAGCCTCCCGACGCAGCCCACAGAGGCCCCAGCCCACAGAGGCCCCAAGCGCGCCCACAGATGTCCCAGCGCGCTGCCCATTGAGGCCCCCCAACGCAGCCCCCAGAGGCCCCAAGGGCGCCTACAGAGGCCCCAGCCCGCAGAGGCCCCGAGCGCGCCCACAGAGGCCCCAGCGCGCTGCCCACAGAGGCTCCCGACGCAGCTCTGAGAGGCCCCAAACGCGCCCACAGAGGCCTTCGCCCGCAGAGGCCCCAAGCGCTGCCCACAGAGGCCCTAGCGCGCTGCCAATTGAGGCCCCCCAACGCAGCCCCCAGAGGCCCCAGCCCGCAGAGGCCCCAAGCGCGCCCACAGAGGCCCCTGCGCGCCGCCCACTGATGCCCCATGACACAGCCCACAGAGGCCCCACCCCCGCGCGCTGCCCACTGAGGCTTCCGACGCAGCCCACAGAGGCTCTAAACGCGCCCAGAGGCCTTCGCCAGCAGAGGCCCCAAGCGCGGCCAAAGAGGCCCCAAGCGCTGCCCACTGAGGCCCCCGACGCAGCCCACAGAGGCCCCGGCCCACAAAGGCCCCAAGCGCGCCCGCAGAGGTCCCAGTTCGCTGCCCACTGAGTCCCCCCGATACAGCCCACAAAGGCCCCAAGGGCGCTCACATAGGCCCCACAGAGGCCCAAGCGCTGCCCACCGAGGCCCTCCGGCACAGCCCACAGAGGCTCCAAGCGCGCCCACAGAGGCCCCAGCTCGCAGAAGCCTCAAGCGCGCCCACAGAGGCCCCGACGCGCTGCCCACTGACGCCCCCGACACAGCCCACAGAGGCCCCAGCCCACAGAGGCCCCAAGCACGCCCGCAGAGGCCCCAGTGCGCTGCCCACTGAGGCCCCCCGACACAGCCCACAGAGGCCCCAAACGCGCCCACATAGGCCCCACAGAGGCCCCAAGCGCTGCCCACTGAGGCCCTCCGGCACAGCCCACAGAGGCCCCAAGCGCGCCCACAGAGGCCCCAGCTCGCAGAGGCCCAAGCGCGCCCACAGAGGCCCCAGCGCGCTGCCCACTGACGTCCATGACACAGCCCACAGAGGCCCCAGCCCACAGAGGCCCCAAGCGCGCCCGCAGAGGCCCCAGTGCGCTGCCCACTGAGGGTCTCCAACGCAGCCCACAGAGGCCCCAAGGGCGCCCACATAGGCCCCAGCCCGCAGAGGCCGGAACGGCGCTCTCGCATGAGACTTCTTCGCAAGTCAATCAAGTTAGCAGATGCCCAGCCGCGACGACAAGGCTCCAGCTCGATAGTTCCTCGCGGTTCTTCGGGAGGCCCTGGCCAGAGAGGTTTCCGAACTTAGGAACAGCGCTCTCGCTGGAGACTTCCTGGCAACTCAGTCAAATTAGTGGGGGCGCAGCCGCGATGACAAGGGCTCCCGCTCGATGCTTCCTCGCGATTTGCTCCGAGAGGCCTTTTCTCGTGGTTCATCCTTCTCTTCCCCCATCCGTCCCCCTTCCCATGTTTTGGGGGCTGCGTTAAATGTGCATGGCAGGTAAGGAAGATGTACCCCCGAGGGGGTACGGTCGAAGACAAAGAGGGCGGGTATCGAGCGTTTGGGATATACGCGTTGCGTGGCACGCGATCGAATGAGAACAAGCAGTCTTAAAATGATTGTTGTTGTTGTTGATGTTGATGTTGTTGGTGTTGTTGTCGTTGTCGTTGTCGTTGTCGTTATCGTTGCCGTTGTCGTTGTCGTTATCGT